CGTGATGTTGCAAGACAATTTAACGTCCACAGAAACACCGATTAGTGTTTATGGCAACGTTGGCAACATACGATTGCAGTCAGAGACCATCCTCGGAGTGGCAGGCCACGCGTAATCAATAATCGGCAAAACAACTGGATTCGAACAACACACCTACGAAATCGATTCCAGCTAGCAACAGTGACTGAAAGAAGCATCCCTGGCCTTCGACGAATATCTTCACAAACCGTACGTCGCCGCCTCAGATGTGCAGGGATTGTCGCCAGAAGATCCGCCAGACGTCCCATTTTAACAGAAAACCACCGTCAAGCACTCCACAGTGTTGCAGACAGCGTCTACGCTGGACGGCCATGCAGTGGGGACAAGTTCTATTCACTGACGAGTCTCCTTTTCACCTCAACCACAGCGATGGACGGATTCGAGTGTACCGACGTCGATGTGAACGTTACGTCAATCATTGTGTCATGGATTTGTTTAGTTGGTTGGTTTGTTGTTTAACGCCGCACTTAGCAATATTCCAGCTATATGACGGCGGTCAGTAAATAATGGAGTCTGAGCATCGATCCACGCAATTGGGATCGATGACATGCATCAACCAAGTCAGCGAGCCTGACCACCCGATCCCGTTAGTCGCCTTTTACGACAAGCATTGTCACCTTTTACGGCAAGCATTTGTGTCATGGAAGAAGATCGGTTCGGGGGCGGCAGCGTTATGGTATGGGGTGGGATTACAGCAAGACAGAGGACCCGTTTGATAGTTGTAGAGGGAAATCTAAATGGACAGCGCTACCGCGACGAGATCATCGGCCCTGTTGTTCTACCGTTTAGCGTCGTCATGGCCCAGGCATTACCTTTCAACATGACAACGCCCGGCCTCATATTGCTCGACTTGTTCAGGATTCCCTTCAACAAAACAACGTGATTGTCATCCCCTGGCCGGCTTGCTCCCCTGATGGATCGGCGCCTTCGACGTCAACCACGTGTTCCACAGACACTCCAGGAACTTCGAAACATGCTCCAGCAGATATGGACAGATATCCCACAGGACTTTGTGCGACGCCTGGTCCATTTCATGAGACGAAAAATCTGTTGCTTGCATCGCAACCAGAGGTGGACACACACGCTATTGATTGGTAAATTGACATTTTGGCATGTTCATGTTGTTTTTTATTATGAAGTCACGCATTTTCTGAAGTCAGTATGGCAAATTCAACCATTTGAACACTTACAGGGGTCTTTTATCTGTTGCAAACCGAAATTGTTTCAGATTTGGTAAAAAAAATAACTTTGCATTAAATCTTATTCTATGTCAACTTTTGTTGTTCAGTATATAACTATCTACACAATTCAAAATTTTTCAACAGTTCAATTTCTTTAAAAATAAAACACTTTGAAAGAAATCCTTAATTGATGATGATTTGATATATTTATCCCTTGTGATCAAAAATCAGCACAGTCAAGCAGGACATGCTTGCCCGTGATTCTCTCACCACAAGGGATCCTCACCTTTACACAAATATTCATGAGTATAACAAGAATGGCCAATTCGACAATGTCGTAATTATATGACCTCTTCAAATCTGGACTGACAACCCAAGTAGATGTAACCGATATTAGGTTTAATTTCATGTAATTTATTTATTACCTACTTGGATGTCGCACTTCTTTTGCATTTAGATAACGGATATAAGATCTAATCATGGGTTTATGATCAGTGTATGGGATCAGAAGTGGTGTCACAGATTTGTTGAGTGCTGCTTTAGCTGCAGCATCAGCCATTGTTTTACCAGTTATTCCAACAAAAGACGATGACTCTCTTGTAGTAGCAAGATCATTATGTAGTTTTATGATGTCACGTACAAGGAATGTTTGTGGTGCTGTTACGGTATTTTTGTCTGTAGAATGTACATGCAACATTATTATTTGCATTGACGGCTAATCTCTCTTTAAAACCTTGAGCCATGCAAATCTCAGATATTAGTGCGCTAACAAATTGTATTTCTGAAAGCATTCATATGTTCGATACATGAACCAAAGTGCACAAAAACACATTTTAAGACTTTCTTTCGCTCATATTACACCTGATTTGCCAAAATCGTGTACATAAGTGATGGATGATTCTTCCTATCATACATGTATACCATTCTGTTATAACTATCATTACAGAAGGAATTGATATCCTGGATTCCATATGATCTGGCCCTCTTTGTATATAGAAATTCAAAACGGTTCTTTGCCTTTTGACCAGCAAAGCATTGCATTTCCATACTGCTATTTGAAATATCTGTTGTTATACAATTAAAAGCATTATGTTTACCTAATTTACTGTGCGCTTTGAGCATGCAATATATGCACATAAGAAGTTGACATTTATAAAAGATTAATTTTATCAAATACAGTGCAGTTCTCATCATGTCAGCCTCAAGGCAAGTGCTAAAGCTGATATTTAGTGGTGAAAACCTTTCTGCGAAACCTTCAATGGTACTAACAGGTTTGTTGAGACAAACCCAGTGCCCGTGCATGAATTCTCCACCGATGCTTATGAAGAAGGTGACGCAGCATTTTATGAAGATGATTGGGTGTATTGTAATTCGCAGTATGACGTCATAGAAATCAAAACGGACACATAAACTTGAAAGAACTCTTCATGGTGTATGTGCCTGCTAAAAGGTGGTGTGAGGACTGGGGTAATAGGCATATTGTTGTGTATACTGATAACACATGTACATTGTATAGTGAGTGAGTGAGTGAGTTGGGTTTAACGCCGCTTTTAACAGTATTCCAGTTATATCGCGGCGTGTCAGCTTAATGTGGGAGGAAGGCCCGACGTGATGCAGGTCTCAGACGTTTACCACTTCGGTGAAACCTACGAGCACGGGTATGGTGCTGACAAACCTAGAAACATAATCGGGGCGAACCGGAATTCGAACCCACAATCATAGGTTTCTGGCCTGCCCAAGGGACGCAACTCTGCTCAGCGAATCGCTGCGCCCTAGAAGACTCGGCCACCCGTGCCCCCTGTACAATGTATAACATCGACAAGGGAACCTGCCCGAGTCCCAGAGTAATAGTCTGGTTATGGGATTTGTTTTTTGAGTGAATAATTTTAGGCTGTCAGCCTGTAATATTAATATAGCAGCAGATTGCTTAAGTCGTATACATGTGGCAAGTACTTTTGATTTGGTTGCTTGGTTTGTTATTTAACGCCGCACTCAGCAATATTCCAGCTATATAACGGCGGTCTGTAAATAATCGAGTCTGGACAAGACAATCCAGTGATTGATATCATGAGCATCGCTCCACGCATTTGGGATCGATGACATGTATCAACCAAGTCAGATGCCTGGCCACCCGATCCCGAAGTACTTATAAAAGAACTTCAATGTATATCCTATTAGAGGAAGGAATTTGTATGTTCTGTCATGCGAAGTGTTGTATTGGGAACTGTGTACCTCACATAAGTGAACACTTATTTCTACACCTGCAGGAATTGTGGGTGAACAGTGGTTACTTCTCAAAACAGCTGCTGCTGTTCAGAAAGGCAGCATATGCTGAATCGACGAAGCAGGCTTTCTCTATGCGAACCTCCCATCTCCAGTTCTGCTTGTATTGTTCTAGCATACCATGTGACGGTCATGTTGTATGCAGTGTTCCTAGCTCGATCGCTAAAGGCCTCAAACCTTCCTGGCTACTTGAATGTTGTGAGTCTAATACATGCAGGAGTTGGTTTAGAGAACCCACGTGGCAACTGGGAGCACGGACTATTAATGAAGGGGATCAAGACGCTCAAAGGTGAACCACTGAAGCAGAAACGTCCAGTAACATTGTAAATTCTCTCGGGAATACGCAGCAGACTAGATAACATCCTGTGAAGACCTGGAGCAGAATACGTCTTCAGCAACCAATGCTTGCCACAAAAGGCGACAATGCTTGTCGAAAGAGGCGACTAACGGGATCGGGTGGCCAGGCTCTCTTACTTGGTTGATTGTTGTCATTGTATACCAATTGCGTGGATCCATGCTCATTACTGGATTGTTTGGTCCAGACTTGATTAATTACAGACCCCTGTCATATCGCTGGAATATTGCTGAGTGCGGCGTTAGCAACAAATCGAAAATACACCAATCGAAAATCAATCAGCAGATACTACAAGACGAACTAATCACTTCCTAAGGAAATGTCTGTATTTGGATTATTGTATTTGAAACATGAATACTTTCGATAGGCGACATAGGTAACTGTAATACTGTTGACAATAAGTGAATATTGGATTACCACTCTATTGTTTACTGCCATTGTAATTGCTGTGCAGTAATTTATATTGGTTTGTAGACTTAGTGATTTTTGAAATATATTTGCTGGTTGTATACCACTTGTTGGTTTCACACTAAGTTCTTTTATGTGCAGATTTCTGGATTAACGTATTGTTTCAATTTGGGAATCGACATGTAACAGAAATAAGGGGCTCGTCCGGGATCGAAATTTAATGGATCACAAATTATTTGTCAAAATTATTGAATAAATTGTTTATTGTCTAATATTTTGTAAAGCCAACAATAACTATGGTGTTTAGTGTTGAGGATTTTGCCAGCCAACCTTCGACGGAACAAGTCACTGTGCTGAAAAAGTCTGAACTGGTCGAATTGGCCAAACAATATAAACTGGGCATCAAATCAGGTATGCATAAGGCTGAAGTCAAGAAAATTTTAATAACTTAACTGGTTGAGGAATAAATTTTAGATGATGATGCTATGGCTTTGATTGAAGAAAAAACTTAAGTTTCGGCTTTGACGAAATTGGATTTGATTGACATTTCATTCATCAGGCATACCTAAAGCTTAATTATTATCACTGCCTACTGATGTCGAGTCATTTTCCCCTCTTTCATCACTGCTTACTGGTGGCGAGACACTTTCCCCTCCTTCATCACTGCCTGGCAAAGTCGAGCCACTTTCCCCTCCTTCATCACTGCCTACTGATGAAGAGTCACTTTCCCCTCCTTAACCACTGCCTAGTGATGTAGAGTCACTTTCCCCTCCTTCATCACTGCCTACTGATGTCGAGACACTTTCACCTCCTTCATCACTACCTACTGATGTCGAGTCACTTTCCCCTCCTTCATCACTGCTTATTGGTGGCGAGACACTTTCCCCTCCTTCATCACTGCCTACTGATGTCGAGTCACTTTCCCCTCCTTCATCACTGCCTAGTGATGTCGAGACATTTTCAACTCCTTCACCACTGCCTACTGATGTAGAGTCACTTTCCCCTCCTTCATCACTGCCTACTGATGTAGACTCATTTTCCTCTCCTTCATCACTGCCTAGTGATGTCGAGTCACTTTCCCCTCCTTCATCTCTGCCTACTGATGTAGAGTCACTTTCCCCTCCTTCATCACTGCTTAGTGATGTCGAGTCACTTTCCCCTCCTTCATCACTGCCTAGTGATGTCGAGACATTTTCCCCTCCTTCACCACTGCCTACTGATGTAGAGTCACTTTCCCCGTCTTCATCACTGCCTAGTGATGTCGAGACACTTTCCCCTCCTTCATCACTGCCTACTGATGTCAAGACACTTTCCCCTCCTTCATCACTGCCTAGTGATGTCGAGACACTTTCCCCTCCTTCATCACTACCTGCTGATGTTGAGACACTTTCCCCTCCTCCATGACTGCTTATTGGTGGCGAGACACTTTCCCCTCCTTCATCACTGCCTACTGATGTCAAGACACTTTCCCCTCCTTCATCACTGCCTAGTGATGTCGAGACACTTTCCCCTCCTTCGTCACTGCCTACTGATGTCGAGTCACTTTCCCCTCCTTCATCACTGCTTATTGGTGGCGAGACATTTTCCCCTCCTTCATCACTGCCTACTGATGTAGAGTCACTTTCCCCTCCTTCATCACTGCCTAGTGATGTCGAGACACTTTCCCCTCCTTCATCACTACCAAGTGATGTCGAGACACTTTCCCCTCCTTCATCACTGCCTAGTGATGTCGAGTCACTTTCCCCTCCTTCATCACTGCTTATTGGTGGCGAGACACTTTCCCCACTTTCATCACTGCCTACTGATGTCAAGGCACTTTCCCCTCCTTCATCACTGCCTACTGATGTCGAGACATTTTCCCCTCCTTCACCACTGCCCACTGATGTAGAGTCACTTTCCCCTCCTTCATCACTGCCTAGTGATGTCGAGACACTTTCCCCTCCTTCATCACTGCCTAGTGATGTCAAGACACTTTCCCCTCCTTTATCACTGCCTAGTGATATAGAGTCACTTTCCCCTCCTTCATCACTGCCTAGTGATGTAGAGTCACTTTCCCCTCCTTCATCACTGCCTAGTGATGTAGAGTCACTTTCCTCTCCTTCATCACTGCTTATTGGTGGCGAGACATTTTCCCCTCCTTCACCACTGCCTACTGATGTAGAGTCACTTTCCCCTCCTTCATCACTGCCTAGTGATGTCGAGACACTTTCCCCTCCTTCATCACTGCCTACTGGTGGCGAGACACTTTCCCCTCCTTCATTACTGCCTACTGATGTAGAGTCGCTTTCCCCTCCTTCATCACTACCTACTGATGTTGAGACACTTTCCCCTCCTTCATCACTGCTTACTGATGGCGAGACACTTTCCCCTCCTTCATCACTGCCTACTGATGTCGAGACACTTTCCCCTCCTTCATCACCACCTGATGATGTCGAGACACCTTCATCTCCCTCAGGAATGTCTACTGATGTCGAGAAACTTTCACCTTCATCTGTGCCTGCTGCTGTCGAGACCCCTGCTCTATCTGTTGCACAGTCCACTGATGACGGGACATCTGCACCTCCGCCAGCAATGTCTAATGATCCGTCCTCCGCACCTTCATCTGTTTCAACTGGTGTCGATACACCGTCGCCTCCTTCTGCACTACCTGCTGATATCGAGACACCGGCTCCATCCTGTGCACTGGCCACTGTTGTTGACACGTATGCATCACCTTTAACAGGTGACATGTGATCGCTGTCCTTTACTTGTCCATTCATCTGTGTGGAGATTTTCCATATTTCATGATCAAGCACGGAGTCACTTTCTATCGCCATGTCCACACACACGTGTGTATCCGCTCTTGCAACCGGAACACAGGTCTCAGATGCCACACAGGGCTGTGAAGAGCATGCAGACACCTTGAATGGCAAAAGTTAAGCAGGTATTTGTTACAAATTCAAGGTTACTTTGATGATGTTGAGAGGTTTTAGAAGAATAGAGCATGCAGGCACCTTGAATGGCAAAGGTTAAGCAGGTATTTGTTACAAATCCAAGGTTACTTTGATGATGTTGAGAGGTTTCAGAAGAATAGAGCATGCTGACACCTTGAATGGCAAAGGTTAAGCAGGTGTTTGCTACAAATTCAAGGTTACTTTGATGTTAAGAGGTTTTAGAAGAATAGAGCATGCAGACACCTTGAATGGCAAAGGTTAAGCAGGTGTTTGTTACAAATTCAAGGTTACTTTGATGATGTTGAGAGGTTTTAGAAGAATAGAGCATGCAGACACCTTGAATGGCAAAGGTTAAGCAGGTGTTTGTTACAAATCCAAGGTTACTGTGATGTTGAGAGGTTTTAGAAGAATAGAGCATGCGGGCACCTTGAATGGCAAAGGTTAAGCAGGTGTTTGTTACAAATTCAAGGTTACTTTGATGATGTTGAGAGGTTTCAGAAGAATAGAGCATGCAGACACCTTGAATGGCAAAGGTTAAGCAGGTGTTTGTTACAAATCCAAGGTTACTTTGATGATGTTGAGAGGTGTCAGAAGAATGGAGCATGCAGACACCTTGAATGGAAAAGGTTAAGCAGGTGTTTGTTACAAATTCAAGGTTACTTTGATGATGATGAGAGGTTTCAGAAGAATAGAGCATGCAGACACCTTGAATGGCAAAGGTTAAGCAGGTGTTTGTTACAAATTCAAGGTTACTTTGATGTGATGAGAGGTTTCAGAAGAATAGAGCATGCAGACACCTTGAATGGCAAAGGTTAAGCAGGTGTTTGTTACAAATTCAAGGTTACTTTGATGATGTTGAGATGCTTCAGAAGAATAGAAGAACCTCAACATTCTACGTTTAATTTGAGCGCTAAAACATACCGCTTCACATTCCACCATCTGTCTACGAAACACCATGATTGATCAGAGGGTCCGAAAAAACACAGAATCCACAAGTTCGTTTGAAAACATGAAACCCAAACTTATCATATATATAGTTAAAGAAATTTCACAAGCTATTTTCATGACAATACTGGATTTTAAATGTAAAAATATTTGTTTGTTTCCTTGTTGTATAACACCGCACTCAGCACCATTCCAGCGATATTACGGCGGTCTATCAATAATCGAGTCTCGATCTGACAATACAGTGACTGATATTATGAGCAATTGGGGTACAATGATATGCATCAACCAAGTAAGCGAGCCTGGCCACCCTATCCTGTTAGTCACCTCTTACGTCAAGCATGGGTTGCTGAAGACCCGGATGTAAAATGAGGGGCAACAGAAAATACACCGAGTTTGTGTTCATGTAATTGAAAATTGAAAGAACTGTTGTTAAATTTCATCATGTCTATTTCGCCATCACTTATTCATGCAACAGGTTTTTAAAAAGTAATCAATGGCCAGATAATATTGTGTAAAAGTAAATTGGTTCAATGTCGACTGGGGTAAGAAATCAATTTGCACAACATGGCCCTAACCATGTTTCCAGTTTTGTAAATTTGTGCCGAAAAATCTATAATATATTGATTTTTAAAGAAAAGAATTCTGATAATTCCATCTTTTAAATGTATCTACAAATATTTAGGTGAGGTGAGGTGAGGTGAAATGGGGTTTAACGTCGTGTCCAAGATTATTGCACTTATATAACGACGTGCATGCACGTGTGTGTTTTGGTGTGGCTGCTTGTACTAGTCCGGACTGATGCCGAATTAGAGTGCTGAGATACAATGCCGCAGCTTAACATGAATAACCTACTCAGACACAGAATACATGGTGACGAACACATGTCGGGAAATGCATCATACCATAGACCATGCTATTGGAAAATTAGATATTCTTTAATAACTGAGTACAGTAAAGTGCGGTTATAACGAACTCAAAGGGACTACTACTTTTAGTTCGTTATAACCGTAGTTCGTTATAAGCATATATACAGCATAACTACAGCAAATAGTTGGGAACAAAAAGTAAGTTCGTTATATCCGTCAGTTCGTTATAAGCGTGTTCGTAATAACTGTAGTTTACTGTATGTGTATGTGAATGGCTAATTCTTGCCTGGTTGTTGAGGCGTGAAACCGTACCAACTGATATACCATCTTCTGAAGGAAAGTTTCAAGAGGGCGACTATACTTCTCGTAAGAGGCGACTTACGGGATCAGGTTGGCAGGCTCTCTGACTTGGTTGATGCATGTCATCGATCTTAATTGCGTGGATCAATGCTCATGACATTAAACACTGGATTATCTGGTCTAGACTCGAGTATTTACAGACCGCTATCATATAGCTGGAATATTGCTGAGTGCGGCTTTAAACAACAAACCAACCAACCATTTGAATATATACTCACCAATAGAAACGCGAATACCATACATGTAGGTTAATATATGACGAATATTCAAGATATTTTAGATTGGTTTGATGCACGAACGAACGTGCCAATGAACGCTTCACATGTAACGTCATGGATCCATGACTCGAGATGCAACATTTTTCTCGTGTCGGATAAGCGTGTAAAGTTTGAAAATCACGTGCAGCATATCGTGATAAGAATAGACAAACACTGTGGTAACACTTGATTGATTGTTAGTTTTACCATTGATTGGTACAATTCTTCTTAACTTCTATAGTTCGCATTTCTTTTGGTGTTGAGTATATATTCACACTCTTATTTCTGTGCATAAATTATAAAATTAAACAGTACGCGTGTTCAGGAAAAAAATGACCACTAGTCGCCATTCAGGTTCTCCTGAAAACGATTCAATAATCATACACGTTTATTCATATTCGTTGCTTTTCAATCTTTTATTTCTAAATTATACTTTTTTTCAATGCCAAGGGCTACCAGCGTTGTATACTCATTTAGGTATTGTTACATTAATTTTCATGTTAACCTGTATTTGTGGTTCTCATCCCATCCCATCACACCACATCACAGCCCGTCCCATCCCTCGCCTTTTTGTCCTATCCAATCCCACCCCGTCCCATCCCATCCCATCTGCTGCGATCCCATCCTATCCCGTCCAGGCCCTTCCCGCCCCATCCCATCTCATCCGGGTTTATAAATTCATAAACCATCCCATCCCATCCGATCCCATTCCATTCTATCCCGTCCCATCCCATTCCATCCCAACCCATCCGATGCGATCCCATCCACCCCATCCCATCCCATCATATCCCGTCCCATCACATCCATCCTATCCCGTCCAACCCCCACCCCTTCCCATCCCGTCCCGTCCCATCCCATCCCATCCCGTCCTATCCCGTACCATCTCATCCGTTGCGATCCCATCCCATCCCATCTCGTCCCACCCGTCCGATGTGATCCCATCCCACCCGACCTCGTCATTCCATCCCATCCCATGCCATACCATCCGGTGCCATCCCACCCCAACTCAACCCCATCCCATCCCATCCCACCCAATCCTATCACGTCCCATCCCATTCCTATCCCATCCCATCCCATCACATCACAACACATCCTATCCCGTCCCATCCTATCTAGTCCCATCCCATCCCATGCGATCCCATCCCGTCCCGTCTCATCCTATCCCATCCCATCCCATCTCGAACCATCCCATCCGATATGATCCCATCCCATCCCATGCTATACCATCCAATCCTATCCCACCCGATGCGGTCCCGTCCCATCTCAGCCTATCCCGTCCCATCCCATCCCATCCCATCCCATGCTATACCATCCAATCCCATCCCACCCGATGCGGTCCCGTCCCATCTCAGCCTATCCAGTCACATCCTATCCCATTCCATGCCATCCAATCCCACCCCATCTTATCCCATCCTATTCCGTCCCGTCCCGTCCCGTCCCATCCTATCCCATCCCATCCCGTCCCGTCCTACCTTTTCTAATCTTACCCTCGGATTCTCAGGTCCTGGGATGTAGACACTTCCCCTGTAGATGCTCAGTCTGGTAGCATCTTCCTCCAAGTGTGCCTTCAGTTGGCACGCTTGTTTCTCACCTATCCAATTTAGGGATTCACAGCCAGGGTAGTAAGAACACAGGGAATAGCAAGCCTCAATGTTAGAGACTCGTCCTGTCCATAGAGTGTATCCCATGAGGATCCTGTTAGCGTGAGCCCCTTCTTTCAATAATTGTCCAGTTGCAACAATCGCCCCTATCAAACAGAAACATGTGGCCAAGGTCACCTGAACGAGACGAGGCATACCGCACGCAAGGTGATTTTTCTTCAGCGACATGAAGTCCCCTCCGTCTCTTTCTGGTGCCAAAGTCAGGGTCTGTGTGCAGTTAATTATCTATTTGGGAACAAATTCCATGATGCATAGATGACCAATTAGTTTGCTAACAGTGTGTAACTAATTAGGTATAGGCCACCTGATCATTGGGAAATCTCAAAGATATATAATAATTGCCATCAGTTTGTAGTACGCAATGAATTATTTTCTGTTTGCGATATTATGATGACTTATTTATCAGTAATTGAACAGCAGGAGGCGGACATTCGGAACTGTAGCGCATTATGTATAGGAGAATGTCCGAAATCTCGCCATTATTTTCGCACGTGAAGCTTGTTCGAGGCCGTTAGGCCGAGAACAAGTTTCACGTGCGAAAATAATGGCGAGATTGAGGACTTTCTCCTACTTAAAACAAAGTTCGATCAAGTTGATGCCTCAAACTAATCTTCAAGTGATATCCACGTGCCAAACTAACGGAGGTGTGTTCTAGTTGTACATGGTCATGACAAACCAAGTCGCTAAAACACACCAATAAACGTGCAAAACTATGGGAGTGTTGTCTGTATAACTGCACATGCAACATGATATTTTTCGATTTTCGATGAACGACGTTCGACTCGGCAGGGTTGTCAGCATGACTGCGAATGATTCCGACAACGATTTATTTGTCACACAAAATAGTTTCACGAACACTTTTGAGCTGGACGTTAATTCAGATTTTGAAACTTTACTAAATTTGGATTCAAATGAACTTCCAAACTTTGATGTTGGTAAATGTGAGTTGATTGATCTCGAAGGGTTTTCCTCAGGTTCCGACACTGACCTGTACAAAGCAAGCCAAGCAATTGAATCTAACCTTCTTGATAGGCTACCTTGTAACACTCGCTCGCCATTAGCTTCATCAGAAATACCTCAATCACGTGGCGCTTCTGAACAAAGCATAGATTCAAGTTCAGCAAGGTTTGCCAAGCCAACATCTGATATTGACATTAAGAAGTTGTGTGATTCAGCATACTCCTCGAATACTGAAAACAAGAGTATGTGGGCAGTTCGCTTGTTTCAAGGGTGGGTGAAGGAACGGCGTAAGAGGGGCAGAACAGAGGACATGGTATTGAACCCTGACATTGTGTCACTGGCTCAGGAGGAAAGGGAGTTAAATAAAACATTGATGTATTTTATGATTGAGGTCAGAAATCAGAAGGGCGAGGAATATCGCGGAAATACTCTTTATGAAATTGTCTCATCCCTACAATATTATATCAGAAGAAACGGCAGTCAACTGAATTTTTTCGAATCTCCGATGTTTCAAGGATTAAGGTCCGTGCTAGATGCGAGAATGAAATATTTGGCAAGACAGGGAATCGGGATAGAGAAAAGGCAGGCTGAAGTGATCCGTGTGGACCAGGAAGACATGTTGTGGGAGAAGGGGATGCTGGGGGAGAGTACCCCCCAACAGCTATTAGATACAATGGTGTATTTAATTGGCCTCAATTGTGCTCTGAGGGCTGGTGATGAGCACCGATATCTTAGAACGGGCCCGAATTCACAGTTCGAAATAACAGTAGGTGCTGATGGGTTGAAAGGTCTAAAATACATGGAAGATGTGTCCAAAACAAACAGAGGTGGCTTAAAACATCGACAGTGTGAACGAAAATGCGTCAAAGTGGGCCAGAACTTGGAACGTCCAGAGAGGTGCCTTGTTCGGCTTTATGAAAAGTACATGTCACTCAGGTAAGTTATCAATGAATTTGACAGTATATCAGTGATATCAGTGAAGTTATTTTTAAGAGTATATTGGCAAGTTGATTTAACTGTCTTGGAATTTTCAACTCAAGTGTTCATAACACGTCACCTATTATTATGACTTCATTACAATTTAGTGACGCAATTTCCGGGGTAGAATGGGTCCTCGGTATACCCTGGCTGTCCTAAAAGGCGACATAATAGGAGTGGGGGAAGTGGTCATGTAATGTGTTCTGGTTGTTGTCGAGCCTTCGTAGATCGTTGCTCATGCCGTCAGCCACTAGCTGTCTGGTCCAGAACTGCTCTATATTTTTTCCCCATTTATATTTATTAATAGGCCGCCGCGATATAACTGAAATATTGCTGAAAGTGGCATGACCAACCAATTATATTTGATCCCAATGGTGTACACGTGACTTAACAAAGTTGAAGCAATGCATATTTCAGCCATCGATGGTAAACGTGAACAATATTTCACTATGATGTCATACTATATTGGGACGTCATTAAGTTTAATGACGTTAACAAAATGAACTTCACGCCCCTGTGCGCGGGACATTGTCATTACTGACTTTTACTTGATCGTGTTTAGACATTGAAAATACATGTGTGTATATATACATTTTTTTTTTAATGTTATTTTCAGACCTAAAGACGGAAAATGCAACGCATTTTACTTGAGGCCCTTGAAATTTGTGAGAGAAAATACATGGTATGCTGACATTCCGATTGGATTACATCCTTTAAGAGGCACTATCGGAAGACTGTGTAAAGTGGCAGGTTTTAGTGGTTTTTATTCCAACCACTCCTTGAGGGCCACCACTGCAACACGTCTGTATGACTCTGGCCTAGACGAACAGCTTATCGCTGAGAGGACAGGGCACAAGTCTGTGGCAATACGAAGCTACAAGGTATGTTTTTTTTATACATTTGCGCTGGTTTGTATTATATGCTTGTCCGCAAAATACTACTAATGTTACTAATACGCTCCCAAGTTATCGAACGGAAAGCTCAGTTGTGTGGGGGTCACTTTGAAAATGAAAACTTTTTCGTATATGTGTGACATCTAAAACATGACAATGAAAAATCTAGTATTTAGTTCAAGTATAAGGGGGTGCGGTCGGGTAGCCTAGTGGTTAAATCGTTCGCTCGTCACGCCGAAGGCCCGGGTTCGATTCCCGACATGGGTACAATGTGTGAAGCCCATTTCTGGTGTCTCCCGCCGTGATATTGCTGGAATATTGCTAAAAGCGGCGTAAAACCATACGCACTCACTCACTTAAGTATAAGGGGTGGTCGTTAATGAAAGGAAAATGTTTTGGATGGGGCCAAATATGGATGAATATCGTTTATTACACGGATTAAACAAACCAGATCATTTCCATAACTGAAATGCATTAATTTATCATTTAAACGTAGAGGACATCTGCGGAGATGGAAGCCCGTGTTGACAACATCATTCAGAGGAAATCAAGTAAACCTGCATCCCCAACTGAGTCGACAGTAATCAGATCTACGTCAACGGCATCCACTGCATCAACTTTGACCAGTACCAAAGAGACAAATGATGACACAGCTTCGAGGAATGGACGCGATCTCAAATTGGTTCTTAGGGATGGCGTTGTTTTGTCTCTAACATTCTGAGAATAAACGTTGGGTCAACAGTGACATAATCTTGTTATATTTTGTTGAAGTTAGTGAAGAGTATAGGACGCATTTCCTGTATCTTCTCCCGAGCATGTATCACAACATAATTTTGCAAAAATCATGCTGTACTATGGGAGGGCGACCGCTCTTGTTTAACTATGGGAGGGGAACCTTTCAAGGAAGACTATGGGACGATTTAGTACCCATACTCAAACTATTGGAGTGTCAGCAAAATGACTGCGTCCACCCAACTGTCATTAAAGTTCACGTAACTTTGTTTTAATACAATATAAGTATTGTCATTAAAAACTGATCTTTATTTCATGACCATTACAAAGAGTCAGCAAACAGTTCATTTGAGTTCTGATAACATTTTAAAGTATTCAAGGAAGCCATCAAATTAGACGCAGAGGTTTGAAACCGTGAAGAAACATGTGATCTAATTAGATATCCACCACAGTGGAATTGCATGTTCACACACGACAATAGTGTTACAACTACCGATACATTGAACAGAACGTCTCCCGCAAAACTAACCAGATATTGCTGTTTTCAGATGCACAAAGCCCACACCTAACCTTGGTGCTCATAATGAGGTCGCTATACCCCAAAAAGGACTGAACAGGCTTAACTCAAAAAAGGGCTGAACAGTTTTAACGTTAGTTTAAACATCAAAGTGCTATGTCTATCCTACAGCAAGACTCAAAGTAAAAAAATGCTGAATCTGTTTTCCGACAAAGACCTCTCTCTCTCTCTCTCTCTCTCTCTCTCTCTCTCTCTCTCTCTCTCTGTCTCTCTCTCTCTCTCTCACACTCTCTCTCTCTCTCTCTGTTTTGAAATACATCATGACTATGAAGGATATTTTAACTGGCCTTACATGGATATTATTGAGGTAGCACAACATGTGTCACATATAACACATGTATATATTAAAGTATTATAGATATAAGGACCAGTAGAATCGTAATTTGAAGTACAATCGTTTAAAGCTATGACACAGCAGAATAAACCGAATGGGTTCAAATGGGTTCGAATGTCTTGTTACAGCTTTACGCTCTGGAGACACGAACGGTTCAATGCATTTCATTAACCAGATGAAGACGTTCCTTCAAGTTAATAACAGATTTAATGAGAATACGTCAATATTGAATGGCATGCCACAAAACAGATGCAAGGACGACACACTGAATCAATGTAAATGATGCTGACAGCATACACGCGGTACATGGTTTTGGTGTCACAGTACTGGTGTTGGTGTCAACGTTGGAAGTGGTAATGGTCTCTGTAGTCTCCGTCCTGGCTTTTGGCGTAGTTGTAGGCGCAACGGACGGACAGATGTCAGTGACGTTCAACGTGTCGAGGGTAGCTCCCTCAAACACTGAATCCCTGGTACATCCTATCCCGTTTAGGGGGAACTCTGGGAGGAACAAGTTGACAGTGAAGAGCCATGAGATGTCACATCCACAGTAAACGCTGATGTAGAAGAACATGAAGTCAGAACCCATATCTGATTGAAAGGCCTCCAGGGTATCCCGTTCGAGGTTCATTATGGTGCAAGAAAAGATTCGAACATTTTTCATTTCTGTAAAACCATCCAAAGCTAAGGGCTTGAGATTGTCAATTGTTGAATGATATATTTGAAAGGACTCACAGGAAGAAATCTTGTGGAAAGCCTTCGATTCTATAGTTGTGATGTTCGTTGCATAGAAGGTCAGTCCCTCCAAATCAGATATCCCATCAAAAGCAAAAGATTCAATGGTGCCTACAAGTAACTGATAAGTGTTGAGTTTTCCTCCTTTCGCGAAGGTACTCTTTCCGAAGGCAAAGGATTCAACTGTTCTGATATTAGAATGGTGAATGAAGACGTCTATGAGGTTATATGTTCCATTGAATGAATATGACTTCAGGGTTCCGATTGTACAATCAGCTATGTGGATTTGGGTCAGATTTGTAAGGTCCAGAAAGGCATTTTCAGGTATTTCCTCAAGGGTTGACTCTGCTATATTCAAGATTTCCGTCCCTTCGTCAAGAAATGGTAAACAATGAATTTCATCACACACCGTGGTGTGTTTGGACGACTGCAGCACCGTGCAGGTTGACGTGCAGTTGCCTTCCTGTGACGCCACGAGACTAAGTGCATGTAGGACCGAGACAATTGTGACAATCTGGAGAACGAAACATAAAGAAGTTTAAACACAATTCCTTATATGAGTTTTCTTAGTACAGGTATCTTAGTATATTCCAAGGAGACTGGGTTGACTTCATTGCCAATACTTCACAGATTTTTATGCTTTATACCATTTTACTGTCATTACCCATGAATACATACGAACGTTTTCAGGTAATGAGGCAAAGGCGGATACAGCATTTTTTTAAAGGGAAAGGTCCAAAATATCAAAATCCTCTCTCAGTCAGTTTTACTGTCTACAACATACGAGGGCTGGTCAAAAAGTTCTAAGCATGACTAACTTTCAACTATGGGCCATAACAAAGTGAAATAGTCAATGTCGTACATTGCTTGAGCAGTTCATTGCAAGTGTATTTGGTCTGTTGACTCCGTTGTATATTAGTGGCAGACAGTTGAACGTGATTAGGGTCCAAATTGATACAGAAATGGAAAAGAACGAGTACCGAGCAGTCATACAATTTTTAACCTCAGAGAAAAGTACACCTCACGAAATTCATGACCGCATGTGACAAGTGTATGGAGATAAGTGCCCAAGCTATTCCACTGTTAAACGTTGGGCAGCCATGTTTAAGGCTGAGAGAACAAGCCTTGAATGATGTCCCTACGTCTGGACGTCCCTCAATTTCCATCAATGAAGATTCAATCAAGGAGGTAGAAAAACGTGTCAGATAGACGTATTACTATTGCTGAACTGAGGAAGTCACAGGTCTAAACCATGGATTCATTGAAACTATTATTTATGAACATTTACAGATGAATAATATATCTGTCCCTTGGGTGGCAAGTTTATAAATTCTGATCTTAAAGAAAAACAAACTGACATTGCTAAAGAATTTTTTTTTTATTCTGAGCTAATTGATGAGGATTTCGTCAAATTCAAAAGTGATTAATAACGGGTGATGAAACATGGGTCCACCACTATGATACACATTCCACATTAAACGGCAAATTCGTACTTCCAAAATAATGACTTAACTGTTTTCAAAAATAAATTTCCGTAATATGAATTATTAACGAAGGACACCTGTTTTGTTTCGACAGGGTGTTTATCTGTGTAGGTAACGCCATGATGTCTATTCAAGCTAAAAGAGGTTATTAGGTAAAAGTGTGATCGTTCACACAGAGATAAACAGGCTGGCTGCGGGTTCTTTCAAAGATTACCGAGATACTACTGCAAGGCATAATCACAGTTTGACAAGGTCAAAAGTACACAGTTTTGCATTATTGACAGAACCCATGTGCAACACCCTCTCAAAATAGTAAAACATTGTCACAAGCAAGTATAAGTGAGTGACATGTTGAAGTTATATGGACGATACAAAAGAGGTAAATGCAGTTCATGCTTTCCTCCCACATAAAGCTGACACGCCGTGATACAACTGAAATACTGTTCAGAGCGGCGTAAAACACAATTCTTAATTGGCATGGTTCAATGACGTTTGTAACAATGACATAACCTGATATCCAGTTGACAGTAAGTACTCAGACTAAGCCCAGAGTCAAAGTAGACACAATGTATGGATAACAATTTCTTTATTACTGTTAAGGCGACGCTTCGTATAGATCCTTATACCCTTGTCAATTAAGGAAGGATCGATACCGAAACGTCGCCTCTACAGTAATATAGCAGTTGTTGTCCATAAATTATGTCTTATTTGTCATCCGTCAACTTCTATGTAATGCATATGAAATAATTCAAGCCCAGGGCGCGTTTTTTTTAATCACGGAGACTGAGTTTATGAAGCACGGAGACTGCGTTTATGAAGCACGGAGACTGCGTTTATGAAGCACGGAGACTGAGTTTATGAAGCACGGAGACTGAGTTTTTTTAAGCACAGAGGCGGAGTTTTATGAAGCACAGAGACTGAGTTATGAAGCATGGAGACTGCGTTTATGAAGCACAGAGACTGAGTTTATGAAGCACAGAGGTGGAGTTTTATGAAGCACGGAGACTGAGTTTATGAAGCACAGAGACTGAGTTTATGAAGCACAGAGGCGGAGTTTTATGAAGCACGGAGACTGAGTTTATGAAGCACAGAGGCGGAGTTTTGTGAAGCAAGAAGCCTGTGGATGTGAACAAAGGAAACTGGCAAAGAGCACTAACTTCATGTTGCGTTAAAACTGGACGTATTTACTTCTAAACATTTGATCAACATGCGTCGGGTCCATGCCCTTATCGTATCCTGTTCGTAAAGCAACATCTCCGAACACCCACCTGGACACCTGGACACTCAGCATATCCCCATCACACATTGGGTAGAGTCTAATCCTAAACAATAAATGTACCCGCTAACAGAAACTGATTTGACCTGAGTTCTGATAGACCAACGCTTAGTCTCTGAAAATATATAATTTTGATGGAAACAAAAAACTCAATTTAAATTGAAAAAGAGCTCCAGTGAGATGGGAGATTCAGAAGCCGTCTAAGATCTAGACTAAACATTGGGAATAAAACATTACAATAAGGGCTGGGCTGATATGCAAATAATATGGTCCAGGGCTGGGAGACAATCAAGAATTTACAGTTTATGTCGCTACCTTTAACCATGTAATAATTCGTCAACCACATTTCTCATTTAGTTATAGTGACCGCGTTCCCACTGAAAACGTAAAAGAGAAGTGAACTGTGTGAAAATAATATCAACAATGATAGGCTGTTATGCCATTACGATTGTGACGTCATATAAATAAGGACACAGCTTACAACCTCACGAGACTTGCTTATCTTGAACCATATGGATTTACATTAACAGTTATACACAGTCATACACACCTTGTCGGAATTCATCTGATGGTATGAAATGGAGACAAACGACGTCCACTTGAAATGTCGACATGCATTTATGCACAGTACAATGTGTCCGTTAATAAACAAGTGTTGTTCTTTACGAAGCCAACGGTTGAACACTCCTCATAACAGCCCAAAAGGCTTATCTTATCTTCGAGGGCACTTGTAGAACTGCTGCTACTACTACTAAGTTCGTCGTTTAATGCCGCACTCAGGAATATTCCAACTATATGACAGTGGGCTGTAAATAAGCGAGCCTGGGTCAGACAATCCAGTTATTGACATCATGAGCATGTATCTACACAACAGGGATACGATGACATGCATCAACCAAGTCCACTTCAGACCACCTGAATCCCGTTATATTAGTCGCCTCCTACGACAAACATGGGTTGCTGAAGGTCAATTCTAATCCGGATCTTCACGGATCTAATACTAAGTACAACTACCGATAATTATGATACTGATGATGATGAGGGGGTGGGGGGGAGGGGGGGGGGGGTGGGGGGGGGGGGGGGGGGGGGGGGGTGGAGGGGTGGAGGAGGAGGAGATATAATTATAGTCAACTGTTAAACTGTAATTAGATGTGCTGTGTAATGTAATATAATTAGATTAGATATGAAAATATGTGTTGCACTACTAATACTATAACTACTACTTCTACTACTAGTACTGCTGCTGCTGCTGCTACTACTACTACTATATATATGCCCCTATTTTGAAGAATGGCTTAGGTTTGACCGATACCAGATGAAACGTTGCTGGTATAACACTGTATGTTTCTCACGGAATATGATACAAAGAGTGAGTGAGTGAGTTGGGTTTAACGCCGCTTTAAACAGTATTCCAGTTATATCACGGCGTGTCAGCTCAATGTTGGAGGAAAGCCCGAAGTGATGCAGACAGACAAACATACAGACAGATAGTTTTTTTAAGTCTCACCATATTTTTACATATGAAACATTATATAATGTGATATGCAGGTCTTAGACGTTTACCACGTTGATGAAACTAGCCAGCTTGGGGATAGTGCTGACAAATCTAGAAACATAATCGGGGCGAACCGGGATTCGAACCCACAAAATCATACCAGTAGCAGAGGAAGCATACGAATGGTTATTGAAATACATATTTCCATGATATGCATGTAGTTACAAAAACGTCGGGGCGGTCGGGTAGCCCAGTGGTTAAAGCGCTCGCTCGTCACGTCGAAAACCCGGGGTCGATTCCCGACATGGGTACAATGTGTGAAGCCCATTTCTAGTGTCCTCCGCGGTGATATTGCTGGAATATTGCTAAAAGCGGCGTAAAACCATACTCACTCACTCACTCACTACAAATACGTCATTGGATGATCGAGTGTTACTTCGATGTACGAGGGGCGTTCAATAAGTTTTGCAACTCACAGACTATCTTTGCGGTTTTATTTTTCAATATAATCTCCATTCACCTCAATACACTTACTCCATTTGTCCCTCAAGCTTTTAATACCACTTTTATAGAAATCCGCAGATTGGCCCTCAAACCACGCCTCTGTGGCAGCCTTTATGTCCTCGTCATCCTCGAAGCGTCTTCCACGTAGGGCAGATTTCATTTGCCGGAACAGGAAATAGTCACTGGGGGCTTAGTCTGGGCTGTAGAGTGGGTGATTTAACTGTCCGACAAGTGTATGAGTTTAAAAAATGTGTATTTTAAAATGATATATATAATTAGCAGTGCTTAGGTATTGTGTAGGTGTATATAAGAATCGTTTATGCGCGAGATTTGGCGATTGGTTTAAATTTCATTTTATCATACACCTATCAATGTAATGAGGGGTTTTGCATGTGCGATAGAGCCGACACAGAGATGGTCATATCCCAGCAGGTGTAATAACCCGACCTGTATTCCACCCTCCTTCGAGCTGCGTTGTTATGACTTGTCAATGTATTTGTAATGGGCGATCAATTTCAGGTGGTAAGAAATTGGAGTTACCTCCCTTCGACCGTCGTCTGCTCCGGCAACCTTTCCCGTGACAATCTCTTCCAAACAAGTTGAAATGTATTACATTCACTTGTAAATAGATGCATTTTACGCTTTTATGTTATGGTATATGATTTATAGAATAACCCACGAGGTACGAGTGATTACGGAAAATTTGTCACGAGTGAAATTAATGTTTTAAGTTCCGAGCTTTAGCGAGAAACCTACAACATTAATTTCACGTGTGACATATTTTCTTTATTAGTCGTACCGAGTGGGTTATTCTATTTATTATTCATAATCATATTAAAGACGTTTCAAGGAAATAAAACTGTCGCCGATCAAGAATCAGCTGTTTTGTATCAATCCGCATGTGAAAAAACACTGTCCATTCAATCCAATCGCATTACTCAATTAACGTGTTGCTACGCGTGAAAAATATAGATTTGTTAAAAACTATAAAGATCAAGTTATTGCAGTTATATTTCTGTCCGATTTACACAGCGTACACTATATCTAGCATTGATAAAGAAGACAAGTTTCAAAAAAAGGTTCAGGTTTTTAATCAAGGCTTGTTTTGACAAGATCTCCTCACTGACAGACAGTCCCCGTCGTGCATCGGCAGATACATGCATTTCACATTGAGAAGAGGAAACACGGAAAACCTGTCATTTTTGTATGTGTCATTTGAAAAAAATGTCAAAACCTATAACAACAACATAGACGGAATGTACATCAGTCTTGTTTGTTTGAGAAAAGTTACGAAAAGATGGTAAACTTTGAAAAGTACGATTGCTGTCACAGTGTCGGAATGAATGACCCGACTTGACCCAGATATGAGACATCCGAAACCAGGAATGACAAGAGAACCAGCGTTACAGTTTAATCCGGACAACAAGTTTAATGAACATCGTGTGTGATTTGAAGTGTGACTGATGGGAAACATGTTCATGTGGGATTTTAGGAGGACTTGTAAAACGCATTTGTGTGGTGGACACAGATGGCGGGACCCGTGAAGATTCCGGGGTAGAATAGGTCTTTGGCAACCCATGCTTGCCGTAAAAGGTGACTATGCTTGTCGTAAAAGGCGACTAACGGGATCGGGTGATCAGGCTCGCTTACTTGGTTGATGCATGTCATCGATCCCAATTGGGTGGATCGATGCTCATGATATTAATCACTGGATTGTCTGGTCCAGATTCGATTATTTACAGACCGCCGTCATATAGCTGGAATATTGCCGAGTGCGGCGTTAAACAACAATTAACAAAACAAAACAAAAAAACACAGATGGCTGAAGTTTGTTGATATTTTGATGTGATTCATAATAGTCAAATACCTGTTAATAGACTAACACGGTATCTGGAGACTTGGAGCCAAGCTGTCCGCAAATACGGAGTTCATTTAGTTCAATGTCGGACACAGGATCATCTCGCTGGGGTAAGTTTTCTTTTCCTTGTGTTTTTAATTATTTTGTTTTGATTTCAAAACCTCTCCGAGTTCAGCAAAGTGCATCCATTTCGCAATCAGATGCTTGGTAATCATGTTGCTAAGATAACACTCCATGCTACCCTTGATCTCCTTCAAAGTAGACAGTTCGAATTCTGAACTGTCTGATGTGCATGCCGAAATGATAAATTTGCAAAGAATAATGTTTAGTTGCACCTTTCCTGTGTCATTAACCCTCATAGTCACATGGTGCCCGGACGTCAGTCAGCCCGCATACCGCTAAGCGCCCTACTGTGCCGACGTAACGGTTACGAAAACCTAAACATTGTATAAAAAAGTTTCACGTTCTTATATAATTATTTCTTCACATAACGTTACAAAATTCTACGAAATAGTGTATCTTTATGATGTCTTCGGAAAGTCTAAATGTTGTTGCAAAATAAATTTGTTTTTATTCTCATGCCATCGTTGAAAGTGTGAGTAGTCTTATTTTTCGTGTTTTTGTTACCTGTAAAAATTTGTGAACTAAGTTCATGTCAACTTGTCAACTTTAGTCTTGTTCATTGTGTTTTCATTTTCATTGGCAGTTATCAATGTCATCATCGTTCACAAAGGCAAACCTGTCTATACAAACCCTTTTTTTTGGATTCGGGTGGTCGAAAAATTCATCACACAGCAAGCCCTCTAACACAGACGCAAACCAGGACTTGGTGGTGATGATCTTGGCGCCCTAGAAACAGTTTCTGGCAACATCACAAACTGAATCTTGGAACTTCAATCTGGCTATATGCAGTTTTGACAACAAAGACATTAAATGTGTTCAGAGGTTGAATTATACGAATAACTCTTCATGTCAGTCAGATCTCCGTCCGCTTCAACGAGGTCATTTACTTCGACAGGTGTCAAATGGTCAGCCATGTTTGTTTACAAACGGGGACGTAGTTTTGGTGTTTACTGTAAAATGAAAATCATGTGAAATAAATTAAAAAATAATAATGTGAAATCATGTTGTTAATATGAAACTATGTGTCTTGTCTTAAAAATCTCGAATCAGTGAGATTCTAGCACGTAAAACATCTGAAGGGAAAGGCGTGGATTTGAGAATGAATGGGATGAGAAAAAAATAGTTCCGTTGTCCAGTGAAAATTGATCTTTGTTCAACTGACCAATCAGCTTCGAGAATCACTAATTGCACACTTTGCAAATATCAAAAAGTTATAACACTGCATATTTGAGCCCATATGGGTAATGAAAAAAGGTTATTATATGTCATTTTTCAAATCATACCTCATATCAACACTTGACCCCATTATCACCCATATCAGCCGGTTACTATCAAGGGTTAACATGGAGTATGATATGAAAACCGCCATATAATGACCTGAAAGTGTCGAGTCAGCGCATGTGCTATATCAATGTGCTTTATCTTTTCATATTTTTAGTCAACAGTATTAGTACATTCCCTTCTCAACTTTTAAAAGGGATATCCCAAGTGTCCACGGTGGGACCGAATGCGACATGCACAGTTTGCTTTCGATTGGATATGTTGTCATACGAAAAGCATTAAATTATGTCATTTCCAACATCATTTCAGGTCAAAATACATACAGTTGAATCTATGGATAAAGAGAAAACTTCATTTGACACCCGTGAAGATCCGGGTTAGAACTGTCCTTCAACAAATCATGTTTGTTTGTTTGTTGTTTAACGCCGCACACAGCAATA